TTACAGAAACTAGTACAGGCTGACTGACAGATTTCAGTATGATACTGTTTGTCAGTGGAATGATATCTAAACTGAGAAGTGCAACAGCTTACATGCTATTTTCTTTTGGGATTTTTTTTTTCCGGTAACGCTTTAGATTAGCCTGGAATGTACTGCATACACTGAAAAAAAAATTAAAAAATAAAATAAAAGTTACAGAGAACGGTCTGCATTTTTTACAGAAGTGTGCCGTTTTGTCATTATATAGTGGATGTCTGATATTTTACAGATGATTGCTGTAATTTAAAGGTCCACTATTAAATTTACAGGTAATTGCTTGTATTTTTGTGTCGATTCTACTTTATTTATTGTGTCTTTATTCTTTATTCTTTATTCTTCTTATGTGTAATTATACATAAAATATTAAGTAATATTTTACAGATTCTCTCTGTGAAATTCTCTCTGTGACCCCAACTAAAGTAAACACTGATCACCAAAATGGTGACATAAAATTGGGATTTTTACTTTTTTTTTTTTTTTTTTTTTTACACAATTTCGGTAATAATAGTGTACCTATAAAGTACTTACATGTAAGAATAAGGGGTATAAAGTTTGGGGAATAAAGGGGTAACAACCAAGAGAATAAAACAAATATTTATATAGAAAGTATTATAGAAGAGGAACTTATTCTGCATACCTTTTTGTAATAATGGTGTACCAATATATGCTTTTTAAAAAATGAAAGGGTACATAATGTATCTATGCATTTAGTAATCTTTTTTAACAAAAGTGCACTGCAACTTTTGCTTAAATATTGGGGAAAGATGCTCTTGTTTCATGTAGTAACAGGGTAAGTATAAAAAGATATATATTGTGATATTGTGAAATATTTTTACAATTTAACATAATGGTTTTCTATTTCAATACACTTTAAAATGTAACTTATTTCTATGATGCAAAACTGATGCAAAATTTCATCAGCCATATAGGCTAAATATAACCAGTCAAAAAAATTGGAAACAATTGCTATTTTTAACGTACATAAAACATTAGCTTTTATGTTAGATGCAGGTAATTACAATTTATAATCATTACTAATATATTTATTACAGCTTATTTAAATATTTAAAATATAAAAACGGTCGCTCTGAATGGAAATGACATTAAGGCACTGTAACATTGAGACAGCACTAGGACAGTCGTGACGTCACAAACACACACATACACACACACACTTTCAGATCAATGTCAACTCAAGGTGAATCAAGGTGGGGCAGGATTAGCCAAATTTGGATGAAAATAGTATTCGTTTGTATTTAACACCATACCTTGACTAATATGGCCTTACTAGCTTTGCATTTCGTGTCATGATATGTTTTTAATCACTGCTCGTGGAGAAATGACATCAACTCGTCCACGCAGGAGCAAACCAACACAAAAGTATGACTACTGTAGCCTTTGAAAGCTACTGATAATTAATATGAAGTGTAATGAATGTATGATTTACCTGTTTCTTAAGACCAGGCCAGATGTCCATGATCCTATGGGAGACTCGGAGCGTTTGGCGGAGAGACAGCAGCCTCTTGTGAAGGATCAGTGTATCGCAGGCGCGCTGCTTCACACACATTCATGTTGCACTTCAGTCTGTGTTTGGTCTATAACGATTCAGTGATGAAACATTCACGTATTGCACTTTAGTATCCCAGAGCGTGGCTTAATAGTCTTTTGAAGGTAGGCCAATACTCCAGTACAGTTACTATGATTGATCGTGTTGGCCCCTTTGCTTAGGTCCATAAATCCAGCAAGATAGCAAAATCTTCAGCCAGACTTCAGAAAACGTTCTGGCGTATTACTGAGGAACCAAAAAAAAAAAAAAAAAAAAAAGATTCCATGGCAACAATGGAACCGAGGAACCTATCGTCGCTATGGAGACTGCATCACTCCAACGTGATGAGACGTATCCAGTGGCAAGCGCGTTCAGTGTCTGATCTTTCCCCTCCTCCTCGTCTTGAACTTCAGTGATCGGCATCATAGATAGTATCTGTGCTTAAATGATAACTAATAGCACTAACGGAGAAAAAGTTCACATTTTAGCATCTTTCACTGGTTGATCTGGAGGAACGGGCTCTTGACGGGACAACGAACACACAACAGAAGCACACAAAAAGTGAGATGTTATCTAGCAACACTTGTCCGTATTAATGTAAGAAAATACACGACACCTTTAAATAGGCTATCTTCTTGCATTATTATAAGCGCTCTCTCCCTATTCTGGTGCGAATAAACTGGACTAAGTTTCCATGTAATGTCAAACTATACGACGCAAAGAGCGCATTTGAATAGCTAATCACTTGTCATCATCAACGATACTATACTGATTTTGTGGCAAGCCGTTTTAACATTTTCCCCTTCAGCTAGTTAATACTGGTCAACAGTTTGGAAAGATTAATGTTAAAGGCAGCACAGCTGGATGTTCAGCATCATTCAGTCTTCAGTGTCACATGATCCTTCAGAAATCATAACAATACACTCTAAAAAATGCTGGGTTGTTTTAACCCAATTTTGGGTCAAATATGGACAAACCCGAAATGTTGGGTTAAAAATGTAATGTAAAAATTTAACCCAACGGCTGGGTTAGTCCATATTTGACCCAAAGTTGGGTTAAAACAACCCAGCATTTTTTAGAGTGTATGATGATGTATTATCAATGTACTATATTAAGTAGCCTATTTTATTTCTCTTTTTAAAATAAATGTATACATGTGTTAAATCGATTTCAAAAATTGTATTAATGATTCATGTTAGAAAAGTTTTCTATTTTGAATAAATGCTGTTGTTTGTAACTTTTGATTCGTCAATGAATCCTTAAAAATCAAGAAGCACAACTATTTCGAACATTGATAACAAATCATAATATCAGAATGATTTCAGAAGGTCATGTGACACTGAAGACTGGAGTAATGATGCTGAAAATTTAGCTTTGATCACAGGAATAAATTACATTTTAGAAACTATTTTAAATTGTAATAAAATTTCACAATATTACATTTTTCCTGTATTTTTGATCAAATAAATGCAGTCTTTCTTTCAAAAACATTCAATTATCTTTTTAAACGTTTTACTATGTGTTTGTACACACACACACACACACACACACACACACACACACACACACACACACACACACATATATATAACCAGTATATAACCTATATATAACCAGTAACCAGTAAACTAGATACTAAAAATTAGATATTAGTCACCAAATAACAAGAAACTTGATTGTTTCCAGAGGATAATTGGATTAAACTATTCACTTCTAATGATGTATTATAATTGTTGCTGGCACTTGTTCCAGCTTTTCAATTACTTATTTATTAGATATGTTGATGTCTATCCCAATAGTTAGTAACGTTTGTATAGCTCACCTGGTAAAATTGCACCTTTAACTTATCATAATATCTAAGATTAAAATGTAACTAAAGGCTAGCCTGAAGTGCTTTGACATAATTCAATGGCAGATAGTTTACTAGTCATCAAAAATACTACTAAAAGTAAAAAAAAACTAAAAACAAATAGGCCTACTAGTTTAAGGAATAAATGTGAAGTCGGCTTGCCACACACACACACACACACAAACACACATATTGCCTACATGTATGAATGTATAAAAACAGCAAATATAGTGAAAGCCGACAGAGGCTTTCTCCTCACAGTACAATGGTTCAATCAAACAGGTGATACACACTGCATGGGACTGGCGCGTAAAACATGTAGCTAACCATTCCGTCTGCGCCCTGTCAGGATGACATTAACCTGCAGCGTTGCCATATCGCGCAGACACGCGCGTCTAGACGTCCGTGAACATCTTCTTAATGTTTACACAGTTCTGGTCGTTCTGCGAGGGGAAGTTGGGCTGCTTGAAGGCGCTGTTGATGCCCTCCTCGATGACCATGTACTCCGACTTGCTGAGCGACGAGGTGCTGCGCGTCTTCTTCAGCTCCTCGGAGGAGGACAGAGGCTGACAGCTGCCGATGTGCAGGTACTGCGCCTGCTCCTCTCCTTCAGTCTCTCGGTGGTAGAAGTAGTTGAAATTGGACACGATGACTGGCACTGGCAGAGCGATAGTTAACACGCCCGCAATCGCACACAGGGAGCCCACGATTTTGCCCCCTATTGTGACCGGGTGCATGTCGCCGTATCCCACGGTCGTCATGGTTACCACCGCCCACCAGAACGCATCGGGGATGCTGCTGAAGCCCGAGTCGGGGTCGTCGGCTTCGGCGAAGTAGACGGCGCTCGAGAATAAGATGACGCCGATGAAGAGAAAGAATATCAACAAGCCCAGCTCGCGCATGCTGGCTTTGAGCGTTTGCCCCAGAATCTGGAGTCCTTTCGAGTGCCGCGAGAGTTTGAATATCCGGAACACGCGCACAAGTCTGATGACCCGGAGAATAGCCAAGGACATCGCCTGTTGACCGTTCCCTTGCCTTTCAGCGAGCTCCGTCCCCAAAGTAATGAAATAGGGTATAATGGCCACGATGTCAATGATGTTCATGATGTTTTTAGAGAACGTGGCTTTGCTCGGGCACGCGAAGAACCTGACGAGCAGTTCGAACGAGAACCAGATGATGCAAAGAGTCTCGACGACAAAGAACGGGTCTGAGAAGGGACTCGTGAAGTACGGGAGAGTTCCGTTCACGTGCGGGGCGACCATCCTCTCGTGTTTGTCGTCGCGAAATTCGGGTAACGTTTCCAGACAAAAGATAACGATTGATATCAAAATGACCAGCACGGAGACGATCGCGATGCCCCTGGCGGGACCCGAGCTCTCCGGGTACTCAAACAGCAACCACACCTGTCGCTGAAACTCATTGGTGGGCAAAGGGCGCTCTTCCTCTTTTATGAAGCCCTCGTCCTCGCGGAATTTCTCCATGGCCTCCTCCCCGAGCTCATAGAAGCGTATCTCTTCGGAGAAAATGTCAATGGGCACGTTCACGGGTCTCCGTATGCGCCCGCCTGACTGATAGTAATACAAAATGGCATCGAAGCTCGGGCGATTCCTGTCAAAGAAATACTCGTTTCTGAGAGGGTCGAAGTAGCGCATTCGCTTTTTGGGGTCGCCGAGCAGGGTCTCGGGGAACTGGGCCAGGGTTTTGAGCTGCGTCTCGAATCGCAAGCCCGAGATATTGATGACAACTCTCTCGCAACACTCGTGGTCCGGCTCGTAGCGCTCGAGCGACTGGTGTCCGGGCAGCGCCGCCGACTCCTCCAGCATGTTGTCGCAAGCAACAATTGTCATGTTGTCCTGCTCGTTTTCGGTGTATCCGTGGTTCACGAGGTTGTTGCCCCGGTGCTTGCTCGAGGAAGGCGGAGGCGAGTGGAGGAGGCTAAGGTGGTCGTCCATACAGCTGTTTATGTGGAGGGGCAGTGGAAGCCGCGCCTCCTCCACGAGCTCCTGTCAGCAACAGCCGCCCGCCGCTGCCGCGCGCGTCCTCACTCTCGAATCGCTACTTTCTCAATCCAAGTCTTCTTCCCGCCCACGGCGCGCGTACTGTGGGTTATAAACATGAGTGCTCCCGCCCACGGCGCGCGGATGCTCATCACACATCTAGACGGCGCCCAATCGGAAACCTGACAGACATAAACATGAACCCCAGACGCGCGTCACCGATGCCCACCGACGTTTAGGGGAGGGGTGTGGGAACGCGCATCGTTGACAAGTGCACACCTAAAATGAAAAACGCTGATTGACATTTCTTGCAGTAATTGCATTATTCATATGTTGGAGCACATGACTGATGTTAATGTCTGAGCAAATCAGTTTGCTACGCAGAATGTGAATTATAAAGCAGATCGCGCAACAGTTGTCTTATTCTTCTTTGAACACATTTCTGGGATTAACTTGACATCTAAAGCTATAATAAAATGGTATGACTGTTTTGTTAAAGCACTGCCCGATATAGATCCTAACTGAAAACACCATGCTGTTAGGACCCTTTAATGGTTTGTTTTGACCTGATTTGGGGTGTCACCCTGCACACAAATCTGGTTTAAATGTTATCAATAAAAGCCCGAAAGCGTTTGGTTGTCTGGCGCGATAAGCATGTACGCGTATCTAGACAAAGGCGCGGACTTACATTCTGAATGTCAATGAGAGCATGTGTCCCCTCCTCCATAAAGATGAAAGGACCAGCACCAACGTCACTGTGATTGACATTTGGAGCGCAGCAGGGACCTCATCCTCATGCACACCCTCTCCATGTGGCATATCACCGCAACGATGCATTAGTTCATTTGGGAATGGTGGAGTTTGGATAGCAATTACTTTTTTGGACGTGTGACGTGTGTAAGAATCACAGCAGATCAATAAAAATGTTTATATATTCCGTTCAATATGGTACCGTTTAGTTTTTACAAAGCTGCTAACATGCGTGACCTGAGATTAAGGCAGGGGAATATATCGGAGCTGTCCATAGTTCTGAAACCAGGAGATTCACCCTATAACCTCATTACCCGAGCACAGCATATCACATTTCAGGGATCCCAAGGTATGATGCTATGATGTGTAATCTAAGAAGTGTACAGAAAAAAAAATACAATAAAAATCTGTTTGTCAGTCTATCTGTGTGTCTGTCTGTCTTTCTATATATATCAGCCTTTCTGTCTGTCTATATATACTATGTGTATGTATGTATGTATGTATCTATCTATCTGTATGTCTGTCTCTCCATATCTATCTATCTATCTATCTATCTATCTATCTATCTATCTATCTATCTATTATCTATCTATCTATCTATCTATCTTCTATCTATCTATCTATCTATCTATCTATCTATCTATCTGTCTGTATGTCTATCTGTCTGTCTAAATCTGTCAATCTATCTTTCTATCTATTGTCTGTCCATCCATCCATCCATCCATTGTCTGTCTATCTATGTGCTATGTATGTACTGTATGTACTATTTACTACATACTATCTATGTATGTATCTATCTATCTATCTATCTATCTATCTATCTATCTATCTATCTATCTATCTATCTATCTATCTATCCAACATGACAATGACAACATGTCAATCTATCTTTCTATCTATTGTCTGTCCATCCATCCATCCATCCATCCATCCATCCATCCATCCATCCATCCATCCATCCATCCATCCGTTGTCTGTCTATCCATGTATCCATGTGCTATGTATGTACTGTATGTACTATTTACTATCTATCTACACTCACCGGCCACTTTATTAGGTACCCCATGCTAGTAACGGGTTGGACCCCCTTTTGCCTTCAGAACTGCCTCAATTCTTCGTGGCATAGATTCAACAAGGTGCTGGAAGCATTCCTCAGGGAGTTTGGTCCATATTGACATGATGGCATCACACAGTTGCGCAGATTGTCGGCTGCACATCCATGATGCGAATCTCCCGTTCCACCACATCCCAAAGATGCTCTATTGGATTGAATCTGTGACTGTGGAGGCCATTGAGTACAGCGAACTCATTGTCATGTTCAAGAACCAGTCTGAGATGATTCCAGCTTTATGACATGGCGCATTATCCTGCTGAAAGTAGCCATCAGAAGTTGGGTACATTGTGGTCATAAAGGGATGGCATGGTCAGCAACAATACTCAGGTAGGCTGTGGCGTTGCAACGATGCTCAATTGGTACACAAGGGGCCCAAAGAGTGCCAAGAAAATATTCCCACACCATGACACCACCCCACCAGCCTGAACCATTGATACAAGGCAGGATGATCCATGCTTTCATGTTGTAGACGCCAAATTCTGACCCTACCATCCGAATGTAGCAGCAGAAATCGAGACTCATCAGACAGGCAAACGTTTTTCCAATCTTCTATTGTCAATTTTGATGAGCTTGTGCAAATTGTAGCCTCAGTTTCCTGTTCTTAGCTGAAAAGGAGTGGCACCCGGTGTGGTCTTCTGCTGCTGTAGCCCATCTGCCTCAAAGTTCTACGTACTGTGGCGTTCAGAGATGCTCTTCTGCCCACCTTGGTTTGTAACGGGTGGTTATTTGAGTCACTGTTGCCCTTCTATCAGCTCGAACCAAGTCTGGCCATTCTCCTCTGACCTCTGGCATCAACAAGGCATTTCCGCCCCACAGAACTGCCGCTCACTGGATGTTTTTTCTTTTTCGGACACATTCTCTGTAAACCCTAGAGATGGTTGTGCGTGAAAATCCAGTAGATTAGCAGTTTATGAAATACTCGGACCAGCCCTTCTGGCACCAACAATCATGCCACGTTCAAAGTCACTCAAATCACCTTTCTTCCCCATACTGATGCTCGGTTTTGAACTGCAGG